ACCCTCAAGATGGTTTTCATTACGACTGTTTTAACGAAATAAAATGATATATAATAGACATGACTATTGCGTTCTTGGTTATAATTAACAGAATTTGAATAGTTCTCTTTTTTTACTAATGTCCAAAACGTAGATTGTCATTCAGTTATAGAATCGAATGAAGATTTTTATTGAGATGGAGCAAAATTTCTCCTCAAGACACAGAGACAGATAAGTGCACTGAAGAAAAAAAAAAGAGTATTCCTTTTTTGATTAACGAATGTTACTCTAATTTGATCTGTTGGTGAATAAATTTGTCTGAATTGATGAGAATATTTTATTTCATGTACCAAATTTTTTTTTAAATACAACTATTTATAGAAAAAAAGCTTTTCATCAATAGAATCAAATGTTTTCGTCAGTCCCAAAACGAATAAAGTGTTCATTACTCATACATTGAACAAACCATCGATGTTCATCAATCCAAAATGAACTACCAAATGAATTCATAAATTCATCAATTTGTTCCTCTGTCATTGGTCGAATAACAGATAAATTTCCCATTGATAAGTGAAATGTTCTCAATTTTGGTAGATAGTTACGTATGAGATCTTCCCATTGATAACCATCAATGAAATTGCAACATTCCATAGTAATCTTCAAACAATGTAAATTCGGTGTATTTCGTAAAAATGAGATGATTTTCGATGAATGTGCATCGATAATAATCTTTAGAATGGTCAATGATGAAAAAGATGATCTTATATAATCGTCATCATGGTCAAAAGAATGAATATGGGCGTGAAGATATTTGAGATTAGGTGTATATTGGAACAATCGATTGATTGAATTAAAATTTAATTCCTCAGGATCGATAGATAAATATATGACTGATGACGAGATCTTTGACAACATAATAAACGGTTGTTGTTTTGCCTGAAGAAGCCTGAAATAACAATGAGTTAAATTTGGCAAGTTCCAAATATTATTCGTCAGCAATTCCAAATCCGTTTCATCATAATCTGGAAAAAGGCAAGTACACAGCTGTAAATGAGTCAGTTGAACAAGATGAGGCAATTCCGTAGCGAATTTTAGTACAATTTCTTTTGAACGAAGACCAGATAATGAAAGCGAACGTAAATGAGTGAATTGTCTCAATGATGGTAGATAAGAAGAAAATAGCTCGATTTGTTCTAGAGTCGTCGATTCATAGAGATGAAGAGCAAGAATGCGATCAACAATCATTGGAACATGTTGTTGACATATTAGATCAAAATTACGTTTGGACAGTGACGAGAACTCGAAGAAATAACATCGATGTTGTTTGTAGAGAAGAGCATTTATACGAGCATTGAGACCATAAAATGCCTGAAGAAGATCATTGCCATTCAAATATTCAAAGAAAATAAGTAAGATTTCGTTAGGTAATAAGTTAAAATTCATTGCTGTCTCTTCCATGCGTATAACTCACTTGTATAAATAAGATATAGTTTAACAATGTCAGACAGGTCAAAATCATAGTAACAAAAGATGGTATAGCTAGTCTATAATGGTCGTCTTTTTTGCCCGTCATGATGAATTGTGTTAATAAGATATATACGATACTGTATCTGACTAGTCCAGACTATTGGCAAACACTGAGGGTGTGAGTTTATGGTATTTATCCTACCCACAGCTTCGTTCATAATGTGTTCAATCCATATAAACAACGAATGAAAAGAATTGTACAACATTGAAAAAAATTCTGCTGCTTTAAACATTGCACAAATGGTTCATTTATATCATAATAATTTTGCTTACAGCCTAGCTAATGATGAAACGACTCAAAATTAAATTCAAGAAAGGTTTAGATGTCGATAATATAATCATAGTTCGGATTTCTGCGAAGATAAAATCGATCATATTAGTATTCACTATGAATTGATGTTATATTTTTATTCTTTCATATAGAGATTGCTACAAGAATATTTGCTTGATATCAAATAGTCACAAGCTCAACTATGATAAATCATAGTTTGAAATTCTAAGCAGATAAACAACAGTTTATTATTATAGTACGATATTGCATGGCACATAAGTCGAGACATCTAAGCCGAATGTTGATTATCGAGTGATAAAACTAACATATGTCGAAACAACGCTTTCTATAAATAAACTAAATTCACCTGATAATATCAATTATTTAAATATTATAGTTGACGCTTGTATATACAAATGCGGAAGATTGTCTATTGGTGAAATTGATCATTTTTTTTGATTCAATTTGTGTTCCACAGACGTTTCTTTTAGATTTTTATGCTTAAGAGTTATACATACTGGAAAAAATAGTCAATAACTTAAGAGTAAGCAATATTCAGTATCATTGATTTAATCTCCATAACTTGCAAAACTCATTTTGTATACAAATTGAAGAATATATCAACGAAAGCTTTGCTAGTATTATGGCTGAGTCAAATGAATTACAAACTAGTACTAGAATCACAGTTATACTGCTTAAAAAATGTAAAGTTTAACGAATATTTTCTGAAGAAGCATCATCAGTGCTAGTTGAACACGTTTTCATTCAAATAGATATTATTATATCACCTCGAAAACATTAATTCATAAGTTTGATATCCTTACGTGCAAATCAGAATTTGATTTGAGAGATAGTTAAAAAACTTTCTCTGAACTTTAATTCATTTTTATGGTTACAGTTTATAACAATGTTGATTATTAAAATATTTGATTCTACAATCTTAATTTTAGAAATGAACAATATAATGTAACTTAAGATGATTGCGCCAGTGTTATAAAAAAAACACCAAAATTACAAGAAAAAACAGTGTGTCAATCCTAAAGAGAAACATTATTTATTATTTCAAGCGCAAACAAATGTCATGAATACTTGTACTTTTACTTTCTATGTGAAAAAGTACAACAATTATAATTAACAATATTTTCATCCTAGCTCTATCTAAATCGAAGGAGCGATAAAAAAATTTTTTTCAACTCTTAGATTTTTGTCGCCTTATCACCCTTCAGCAAAATAGAGTGAGATGCAATTTTAACTTATTCTCCCACCAGCTTGAATGCCCTTTTTAAAGGTTCGTTCTTCTTCCGATGTACTTTTTTCAATTTACAGCATGATTTATTAAACAAGCAATGAAGACGTAGGTAAAAAAAAGTTAGATGTTGAAAGAATGAGAAAAGAAACGCTCTGCATTTGTCACGTCTCCCATTTATTCTACTTAATTTTATTTTTCATCTACTTAAAACTGTTTATATATTTACGAATGCATTTCAATGGAATGAATTCGCAATTAAAGTAAGATTTCTTTATTTTCAATATAGAGTTGAAAATAGTATATCGTTTTTTTTTGATTGATCAAAATTATTAGAACACCATAAATACCTTAGATTGATTCAAAAAGTTAATAGATGAACAAAAAAAGTTTATTCTGAAATAGTCAAAAATGACTGAAAAACTCAAATATAAATTATTCTTAAAAATTTTTTTTACGAAACAGTTTAGAATGAACTTCTCTATCTAGCTGTATAGTTTTCGAATCAGTATGAAGTATCTTTAGTATTCCTATAATTATAGCTAATCTAGAAAAAACATGATTTTGAATAGAATACGTTGAATTACTGAGAACACGCAAGAAAGGAAGACGAAGACGCATTCAATTACTTTTTCTGATTTTTTGCCACAGTATTAAGAACTAATCTGTCCCATGAATCACTTGCAGATGTATTTTTATCTTCGTTTGCATAATCGAATCGATTTAGAAGTTTATCGTGGAACTATTCAGTTCAGAAACACAGTTAAAATAATTACATATTATAAATTCATGTTAATTTTTTAACGAATAAAATATATTACAACAAACGATTATCTTCATTTTCAGAAGTTAGAATATTTTCGTATCTGTGATTCTATTTGGTGCGAAGTGGATTATTACTGAACATTTACGATCATAAAATTCAAGAACGTTACTTAAAATGCTCCATCACTTTATTTACCATCATGGAACTCTTCAAAAATTTAAGCAATACTATTTGTATGGGGTTATTTTCATAGAATTCCTAGTCATATTTCAATTTCATTATCGTTACTGTATTACAAATAAAAAGCTAATAACCGTAGAAAATCTAAAGATGGTAACCAACTCAAATTTATTGATGCCCAAAATGTACGAAAGTCGTTCGAGAGTAGTCAATGTTAAATGTAACGATTCGTACAGATCAGAAAATAACATAACAACGTGTTCGTCTACTGATTTGCTATATATGTATCCATGGCTTAATACGGCTCTTTATCCTCTTCAATCTCAATCTTTGATGTATTGTGCTATTCCAAAGGTAGCGTCAAAAACGCTTGTTTCACTAATGATGTATGTTGTTGTTCGTGATATTATAACTCATCTCGATAATAATTCGACAAATATTAATATTAAGAGAATTCGACCAGAACAACTCATTGATATTCCTAAACTCATCAATCAACTTCAAAAGGTATGACAAATAAACAAAAATAACAGTATTTATATTGCAATCTCTCATTTTAGAATGGAATTACAATTACAAACACAAAAGAATCGACTTCTTTTTCTTCGTTATTGCAAGCTTATCTTCATCTCCTTCGTTTTGAAAGCGTCAATAGTACGTCTCCATCTCTATATTTCAATCCATGGAGATTAAATATAAAAGACATATTTCATAATTTTGATTTCAAAAGTATATCAAATCTATCTGATATATTTTCTCCATCCTTCACTCGAGCTCTATTTGTTCGACATCCATTTGAACGTCTAGCATCGGCTTATAAGGAGAGAATTGCAACACTCGCAAAAGATAGAATTCAACCAGAAACTTACTACGATGACGTTCGCAAGGTAATCTGTCGTCGATATACACATCCTGATTGGGTTCCAAGTTCATTGAAAGAAGATCACCCATGTGAAACCTTTGTTCCGCCATTCAAACATTTTGTTGAGTTTATTCTCACGAATACTGGCTCATATGCTGGAATAACTCGAATGGATGGTCATTGGCAGCCATATACAGTAGTTTGTCAAGTGTGTAAATTTAAATATAATTTTATTGGTAAATATGAAACATTCGACAATGATTTTAATTCATTACTCAAACGTCTCAATGTATCTGAATGGAATAATGAAAAGCGACGCGGTGCATCCGGTCATAAGACATGGGATTATCAACAGTTATTTTCATCTTTACCAGATAATCTTATCTGTCGGCTCAAACGTCTCTATAATGATGATTTACAGTTATTTAACTATCGAATAGAAGATTATGTCAATCGAACAACGTTAATTTGCTGATTGTCATCTGAAACAATAGAAGTATTCTTTTTTTCGTACGAGCAATTTCATTTTTCTTGCTTATATTGTATATAAGAAAAGCAATTTTTCTCAAATTAGAGAAACGCTAAAATGTGCATATGCGTATATTTATTATAAATAATGAATTTGAAAGAATCAATAAAATAATCAATGATTTAGTTAGATATATTTTAAATATCGATTAATAACAAGAAAGAGAAATTTACAAGTTTTATTATTAAGATCAGTACTAAATGTGAGGTGAGTATTCTGTTCATCTCTCTTATTCTAACTCACACCCTCACGATGGATGAAAACTCTTGT